TTTTTCCTTTGTAGGATTTTAAAAAAAGCCATACCTAATGTGAATTTAACAATAACAGATTGAGAATCGGGTAGCTGTTCAATGTTTGGATCGGCGATAAAACGATCACCGAGTGTTAGCAATTCTTGGCGTGCTGCTTCTGGCAACTGACCATCCATCTGTGCAAATTTTACAGATACTTCAACTTTTACAAAAAATTTTGACAAGAAACCCGAAAATTTCCGGGCCCAGCCAATTTTTCACTGAAAAATGTAAATTATTTACTTACGTACAAGATGCAACGACAAAACTGGAAAATGGGTAGAGAGAAAATGAAGACAAGAAAGTTGGAAGAGTTAAGAAGCCGAAAAAAGAATGCCGTAAGACGTTTCAGTCCAAGAAGTCATCGATATCATAGCAGGCACCGAAATAAACCGATAAAGTAAGAACAGAAGACCAACCCTTTGCCCTTTTTCCTTAAATATTTCGCCCTCTGTTGGAAATATACAGTAAACTGCATAATAATTTCACATATAGGAAAAAGTCAAGTCAGTTTGCAGTTCATTGAAATGCAACTAGAGTGACCGAGCCTGTAAGTGAGGCGAACGTTTTCAACTAACTCTCCCTCAGTTGCTTAGAAACAAGTCGAAGGGGGTTCTGAATCCTTGGCAGGCGACAGTACCAAATCACCATTGAAATGAATGAAAGAATCGTAGAGGACCTGGCTGCTCCATTAATGGAGTCGAATCTTCAATCTTTAAAATAACGGTAATGCTACTTGTCACTATACCAAACTCGCAAAACTTTAAGAAAATAAAAATCTGGCAAAACTGGCAAAGCGCGAACACGTAAATCTGGCAAAACTGTTGTATAGTCTCTTTTTTTCCGAATTACTATTCCTGAAAAGGTAAGTATTTTAAGGAAACTGTTGGAGAGTCTACTCCCGAGGATTTCATGGGCAATTTCGACTATCTGAAAGGAACTTCAGATTTTTTCCCAACTTTTTCATTAAATTTACTTGTGGCAAGGTGCTGTTCGTCATCGCTTCGACTGGCGTAGGCAAAAAATCATCCATCACATAGAGATCTTCCACTCCAGCGCAGTCAGCAGCTGCTGAACCACGAACAGATTCCGGAAACGGCGGTAAACTTGTTGCAACGTGCTGCTGAATGTAAAAGTTCTTGAAAAAATATCGAGAAGCGTCGGCCTGCAGCACAGTTCGTCAAAAAAAAAAGGACAAAAACTGGAGAGATTTATAAGATGCTTTAGCATGAAAGACTGGAATCCCTGGCATACATGAAAAATTAATAATTTAGATAAGACTAAGAAGATTCGCTCCACCAAGCTGTGTATTCTTCTTAACTACGTTGCTGTCGCTTCCAAGTGGACTATTTCAGTCAACCATGATGCGTTTTTTGCATTTTTGCAATGCAAAAACGCATACGTCAAGGGATGATATGTGTGTATGTCTGTACTGAGCTCATCTCGAGACTTATAAAAGCTACGAGGCTGAAACTTTGGTGAGTTAATCTACACACATATGCGAGCCTCTTCCTCAAAATGAGCGATCACGCCCATGTGATTCTCATGTATGGGCCCTTGGAAATTTTTGGCTGTTAAGTTGCTAACTTGAGAACCAGAGAAGCTAGAGAGCTGAAATTTTAAGGGGATGTGTTCCGGCGGCGTAGGTCTAAATGAGTTCAAAATTCTAGCGAAAGAAATCACAGACAAACAAACACCAACCATTCGTGGCGAGCCATGATGTGGTAGTAGCGAATGTGGTTGCGAACCCGACGATGATCGAACAACATGTGGATAGGGCGAATGTCGCTGATAGGTGTGCTCCATCAGCGAATGCCGTGCAACCTGTTGCTGCTGCTGCTGTTGCTGGATGCCGGACGAGGATGCGGAATGAATTGCTGCCATCTGTGGTGGTGTTAAAGTGGCGGTACCATGCGATGGTGGTGGTGGACAGACACCAGCGCCACCGCCCAATGGTACCATATTTGGCAGCATTTGTGCTGCTGCTTGCTGCTGCTGCGGCGGCGGTGGTGGTGGTTGACCGGATGATGATAATGGCCAGTGCCCAGTGGGCGGTGAAACAGCACTCGGATTTGTTTGCAATCGGTCACCGTATCCAACTTGTGCTTCCCCGTTTAGCAAGACTGCATTAACCGCATCAACAAGTGGCTGTGGTTGAGATGGCATCATCGTTAGCGAAGCTTGCTGCAAAAAAAAAAAAAAATAGTTTTTGCAAACGTTTTCTGCGAAAAAAAAAATTGGCCAACGCACGGGCTGCCCGTGCGAAGATGCGTTTTTTGCAGAGTTCTCCGCA